GTTTTATTATAGAGAACTTGTCATATCATTTGTATAGAATATTCTATAGAATTTCTATAGAATATGCAAGATGTAAAACATGTTGGTAGGACTATACTGGTCAGACACGAATGTGTCAATAAAATATTGAATTAAACAAAAAAAAATTAAATTATAGAAATTACATTAAATATGTGTATATAGTATGTTATAGAATTCTATAGAAACTAGTTCCTCTATAAAAAATTTTTTATAGAAGATACTAATTTCTGTAGAAATTGATTAGTCTCTATAGAAGGTCTATAAAGTTCTATAGAATTTTTATGTATGGGATGTTTCATATAAGGGGTTGAAGATGTTGTACCATTGACAATAGTTGCTCGAGTAATATCTTTGATATTACGGTTAGTTAACAGGTCATACAATTTTGGCTGATTCAAGACACATTCATCAGGAATGAAAAAATTATCTATATTAGCAAGCTTATATGCACTAGTACCAAAAGTGTTTAACCAATCAAAACATTACCTCTAGTAGGTGACATAGCAGTGATTTAAACAAAATATCAAAGCATTCTTACTCTAATGATCAAAGATACCTACAAAAACAAAGAAAGCTCTTTTGAAGCTCTGAGCCCATTGTTAAGCAAAGGGTGTAGCCTACGTATAGTGAACGCTTCTTTAAACAATAGGATGGAACAAACTCGTCGGTCATCGTGCGCACATCTGTACATTGTTTTGATAATGGTCGGGACTTTATTGTTGACCTCTGATATAAATTGGATCTAAGCCTGGCGATTGGTCCATCGGCCACGAATTCGCTCGCGAATTCGAAAAATTTGGTCTTGGACATAGAGCTATTATATCACTATGGTCTTGGATCAACTCTTGTGAATTCGCAGGCGGAGCCCCCGCGACAATCGCGCGCACCGCGTCGAAATTCGAATAGTGGGAGTTCGCCTGTTCGACTACAAATTCTTTTGCATGTTCAAATTGGAAACGCCAGTCGCGTCTTCGATTCAGTAGCGCGCGTCACATTTCGACGCGAAATTCGCTTGATCGCGTTCAGTGGGAACCGGCCTTACGGTCACGTAAGGGAGGTTGTCAAGACAGCCCTCAATCTAAAAAAAAATATTACAGCGGGAATGATAGGAAAAAGAGAAACTGATCCGATTGAAAAAGGTAAGTGGAGTTCTTCTATAGATAATATTTATTCTGATGTTTATAAGAAGCCTGATGATTTACCAGTTGCAACTAAATTAGTACCATGTGAAAATGACGATAGTTAGATGCCGATACAAACTGGATATATTTGTAAGTATGAAGTTTTGCGTGATTCAGGCTGTACGAATGTTGAGGTTAATATTGCATATGTTGAGTCATCACAGTATACCGGGGAGAAGAAAATGCTTATGCTTGTAGATGGTACAGTTAGAATTTTTCCCGTTGCTTTAATTGATGTGAATACCCCGTTTTTAGTAGGTTCTGTGCAAGCTGTGGTAACGGAAAGTGCTGTTTGTGATCTCATAATTGGGAATGTGCAAGGTACTAGGGAAGCAAATGACCAAAATATAGAGTGGAAAAAGAAAGAAGAAGTGACAGCAGCAGTGATGACTAGACGCCAAGCTAATGCAAATGAAGTGAAAAGGGTGATTAAGTTAAAAGTTGTAAGCCCAATAGTAAGATGAAGTAACCCCAGAAGATTTGATAACCGAACAAAAGTGAGACCCCACATTGTGTAAGCCAAGGGAATAAGCGGGGACTGGTAAGTATAAGGATAGGGGCTGTGGAAAATGTGAATATGACTTTTGACGAGAAGGGGATTTTATTTAGAGAGTTTACCTCACCCAAAGTGGAGATGGGAAATATCATAAGGCAAGTTGTTGTTCCTAAATGTTTTAGAAATCATGTTTTCCGAATTGCTCATGAATCTTTTGTAGGGGGACACATGGGAAGTAAGAAAACTTATGATAAAATTATAACTTGTTTCTTTTGACCAGGGATGCAGGGTGATGTAAGGCGTTACTGCCTGTGCTTGTGACTGACGATACCACGGGAGTTGAATAGTTATGTTATTCTAGCCTATTATCAGCGACGATAAACCGTCGGGAAGAAACATTATGTTGTGGAGGGCAAGAGAAGATGCATTTTGAATTATATTAATTAAAGACTTTATCTTATATTTTAACTTGTTTTGCATCGTATTATTATTTGTCTGTTACCCCATTATGCCTCATCATTACACACCTTTGTTGTGACAGTCGTCCATCAGGATACTCTAAACTGTCAATGATAGTAAGTGATAATTGGTTTTGAATAAAGAAAATATATATTTATAGATATGTAATACCTAACACTAGGACGGAAACTACCAGCTATGTTTGACGATTGTGTTAAAGATCAAAATAGCGCCACTCTATTAAGTATGTTGAAAACACTTTCCCATAAATACCAACCAATTAAGAATATATACATGTTCTTGAAGAAGGAATTGTATACAGGATTAGGTGTTTGGAACTATGTAACTTTTACACCAACTGAAACTTGCTGTTGCCAATTTCATCGGAGCAGATATCCACAATAGAAAAGTACAAATGTACAAACGACTTGTAAATAATGTATTGCATACAGTTCGGAGTTATTTCAGATCTATTAGGCATAATAATTTTCTTGTCAAATTTAATAATCCATTATGGCATTGTTTGATAATTGGATACTACAAGGCCTCTGTGTTGCTTTGGAGTTGACGAATTACACTTTTGTGGGTGCTGCACTTATAGTGTCCATATCACGCTTATTTCAAAGCCTACAATCACGATAGAGAAAATAGGCTCCCACCGGGAGCATGAGTCTACTGCTGCATTGAATTATTAAAGAACACATGACATGATTAAAAGTAACTGTAAAATCTTAGTTTGCACAGTATAATACATATATACAGTAGGATCTGTACGCTGAGTATTAGGGGTGAGGATCTAGCCTTTTGAATACTGTATTTGTTGCTGGTGATGGGATTATTGTCGAAATATTGAAACCTATTACGATGGCGTTGAGTATGTGCTTTGAAGCTGTACTATTATTGAGAATAATCAGGGACTTGCCGATGTCGCATTATCGTCGTACACGTAGTGGTGAATTTCGTAGCGGGTTGTGCTTTGTGGTGTTGTCGTTTGGGAGCAGTGAAATTAGCGGGGCTTACAGGCTTGGACGGAAAATAAGTGTTATTTGGAATGTTCAGTGCAATGTGGTGGCAGATCGTTCTTGGGAGGGGAGGCCTATCTGCGTGGTATGAGTCGAAGTAATAGCGTGAAGGCATGTTGATAATATGACGATAACGATCAACAATAAATACTCTACCTTTTGGAAATAACAAAGTGTCGAAGGTTTTGGTTAAACATTAAATTGTTAGATATGAACGATTTTATTATTTCTAATGATTATCTAACATCTTTTTTTAATTGTATTTTCTATATAGAAAAGATCGTTTTCGTCAACATATTGTAAACAGGCCTTGACAGTGTTTTCTTGACGCAGGGTTCCCGGAACGCCACCCTCAGCGTCAGCGGCGTGTGTGAAAAAAGCGTGCTTTTTTCATGGATAAACACCACTGCTTTGCACATGGATGCTTTGCCTAGCTAGGGCTAGTACAAGAGCGGCATTGTTAGCATTGTATAATACTTGTATAACAAGGTACGTCTGTAACTGAATTATTCTTAGTTCATTTTTTTTTTCTTATTCTAATTTATTTCTTTCGAAAGTGTACTTTCTGTCACATAATTGCACTGTCTACTTAGGCCTAGTCTTACCAATAAATAGCCTCACCGTCCCCCGTTACACAGTATATCAGTAGGCTAGGCAACACAACGTGATGTGCCATCCTTCCCAGGTTTTCATGTAACATATGCATACTGTTGGCTAACCAACTTATGCTTACCGTTCCCCAACGCCATAGTAAAGACGTATACTAGGCAACAGAACGTCATAATGCACCTTCCTTTCCAGGCGTTCATGTAACATTTCCATATTGTTAGCTAACCACTTGCGTGTATTCCTTTGTGAAAATGAGTACTGCGGCGTACAGTATTCATTTTCACAAAGCATTTGCATCCTCTGTTGGAAAGAGGGAACTTCGAAATAATTGTCTCCATATCTTCGCTTAATCACCGTAATTTAGCTTACACTTATGCATGGAGTAACTGGAGCACAATACAACAATCATTTCACTATCTGACAAACCCCAAACTTTATTCATGCATTAGGCCTACATAATTAGTTTCATGTTGCTGTACTCCAACATCACTGGCGCATGGCAACAACCGACTGCAGTCGGTTTGGCGTCACGAGTTTGTTGGGTCCTTGCGCTGACTCTTATTGGGGACCCCTAATAAGTGAGCGAAGCGAGCGTTCACTGGTCATGGACCATTCTATGTTCTCTTTTAACTCACTGGTCATGGACCATTCTATGTTCTCTTTTAACTCACTGGTCATGGACCATTCTATGTTCTCTTTTAACTCACTGGTCATGGACCATTCTATGTTCTCTTTTAACTCGGTTAACAGTTCATAAATGGTAATGCTATCAGATTAGTAATGAAACCACTTAATTCATGGAGGGTTATGTTACGTAACGCTATACGGAGTAGTGGTTATTCATGAGTATGGTAAATAACTCATAACATCATACCACTGTTCCTGTATATTATAGGCTATGATAGGATTCAATAAAATGTATAGAAGAAAAACGTCAACATAATTATAAAGAAAATGCCCACAATAATAATGCATAGCCACATGGTATATAATTTGGGGAAAAATGAAGGAGTTAACGGTCAAAATTCTTAGTAAACATACAGAAAACCCCCAATGATGCGACAAGTGACGGAGGCAGAGAGAATTTAAATACATAATCCCGGCCTCAATAAGAAAGGAGAGTGGGGGAACGTGCAGCTCCCCCGTAGTAGGATACACTCCCAAGTTTAATTATGTACCTTGTGGCTATGTATTATTATTGTGGGCATTTTCTTTATATGTTGACGTTTTTCGTCTATACATTTTATCGAATTCTATCATAGCCTATTATATAAAGGAACAGTGGTATGATGTTGAGTTATTTACCATACTCATGAATAACCACTACTCCGTATAGCGTTACGTAACATAACCCTCCATGAATTAAGTGGTTTCATTACTAATCTGATAGCATTACCATTTATGAACTGTTAACCGAGTTAAAAGAGAACATAGAATGGTCCATGACCAGTGAGTTAAAAGAGAACATAGAATGGTCCATGACCAGCTGCGTATCTAGGGGGCGCGGAGGGCACACGCTCCTCCAAAAATTATTCGTGCTCCCGGTCTTTCTCTAAATCACAGTAAAGTAGTTCAAAATCACCTTATTTTCCGAATTACCACCCCTCAACTGATCATCAAGCTCCCCTCCCCATCAGCACCCCAATCTCAAGACTTATAGATACGCCACTGTCCATGACTGATGAAATATTTCGGACAATTTTATGACAAAATTTAACCAACATTGATTACATGTGTCAACTTTCAGGAACTGGTACATGCCTATGTACTAGGTGTAAATAAATAGAGAGAATTTTAGTGAGAAACAAAACATGTTTTCATAAAGTATATACAACGCAAATGTCAAACATCAGAACTCAGCTTTTATTGTTTAAAACTGTCGGGGCCCCATTGAATGAAACTATGGTATTATAATTTATATTATATATTTTTTTAACTACAAGGTCAGAGGCCCCAGACACGAGGGGCCCCCGGCCCTCCGCCCCCCGTAAGCGCCCAAGCGTGACGCCACTGGCGCATTGAGACCTAATTTTATAGTTAAAGGCTTGCAGTTTTTTTTTTGTTTTTTTTTTGGGTGGAAATGGCTGTACTAGTCGTAACATTTGAGATTTGTGTGGACAATTTGTATGAACACGTGAGTGGAGAAATGGTCAGAATGTCGTTTATAAAATATCCAAATTATGGGTGAGAGAGAGTAGGCAGATGAAACATGTCATTTACAGTTTTGTGTGGCTGCCGCAAGTAATTGTCGTGGGCGTTTTTTCTGAGCAGGATATATTATAGCCGTCGGGGTCGAGAAATCGGCGCTCAGTCGGTATCGGAGCAGATGGTGTACCGTACACATTTGATGTTGTCTGCTGAAGAACGGAATGAACAGACGATAGAAAACGCAACACATTGGTAACAGATCAAGGTAACAAAAACAGATTTAATGAGGACTAAATTCCGACATAATCGAAACAAGTACTCTAGTACAGTACCACTAGTATTGAACGTAAACAAATAAAAATCTAAATAAATTCTTAGTTCAAGAAAACGTAAATTCCAGGTTCCAATTTTCGTCTTCCGTGCAGGCTGGTACTGTACGATTTTAAAGTTTAAATTTGTGTAGAGTATTAATCCGTGCAGGAATTTAGGATCACTGTATAGCTGATATGAAATAATAAATTGGTTATTAACAAAAATAAATTAGAAAATACAGGTATTATTGCTTACGGTACTTCATTTTGTTTTCATAAGGTTTCTTATTTTCATAACTTGCATTATTTTATTTGTACGTAATCAGAGTACTCTATATGGTTCCCTGTCTCTAGAACACCTCTTATCTAAAAATAAGAGGCCTAGGCCTAGACCTACAATAATATAATTGTACAATGTTTTCTGACTGTCAATCTGTAAGGCTACTACTTCTACTACCACTACTACTACTACTACTGTTAATATGCCTAGAAGGCTTAATACTGTATTGCTAGCCTTGACTTTGTTTCATTCTTTAAATTGGCATTTCTGTTTTTGTTTTCCATTGGCATTGCCTATCCTGCACAACCTACTGTATCCAGCCTATCCTACCTGTACTGTACAATGAATGTTGAATATTGGTGCGTGTAGGCCACCTACGTTGCGCCGGGGCGCGAATTTTTTTTCATGGACGTTTGAGGCAGTGTCGATTGGTGTCGCTATAGGATTAGGCAATAAAGTCATGAATATTATTTTTCAGAGCGGTTTTGATACCTGCGATGATAAGCAATGCAACGTTCCAGTAGGCCTAGTGTATGCAGGCGTAGGACCAACCTATGAGGAAGAGTACCGTAGAATATTTGAAAACCACAGGCCTTGGAACCCCTTTTTATTATAATTATGATATACATATACATATATACATATATATACATATACATATATATATATATATATACATAGTATATATATATATACATAGTATATATATATATAGACAATAGCTCGGTTCTTTTGTTTAGTGTTGACTGTTTGTCTGAATATATTATGTGAAGTTTCTCGGTTATGCACAGGTTGCAGCGTTTTGTTTTTGGGGAGTAAGCCGATGCTCTGTCGATGATAGACCACTTAATGTTGT